TGGTGGTGGTGGTGGTGCTGACGGTGGTCGTACGTTCAACTAAAAACAGAAAGGTGGACAACAGAACGTCACACTCGTCTGGAGTGAAAATCAGTGGCTTTCAGGAAACACAATATAACCAGTAGGGGGCAGTAAAGCAACCGAAAGATACAGGCCAGTTGAATGATGCAAAGAAGAAGAGGTGGTTCTGCAGCCTCCACAGACAGCTAGTTAGTAGGTTGAACCGACCAGTGCGTTCTAACAGCTAGCTTACCTGTGGTCTCGACTAGCACGACCTCGTCACTCTCTATTTCGTTAGCATACACGGCCGACAGGAGAACTTCGTACTCGGAGGCGGAGCTAAGTCCTTTGATCAGATAAGAGTTGATGTTTCCATTCACCAGAACCTGAGGAGCAAGAAACAGTACCAAGAACTTTGGTCTCAGATGGGACTTGATTTGGTCCAGGTTCTACAGTCCTACGCTAACTGCTCACTGCTGCCTCCTGTGGTCAGTTTGCACACACACACACACACACACCTCGTCGGCGTCTCCTCCGTCAGTTGTGGCCCAGGTGAGGCGGTAGAGAACCACATCAGACGCCGGGTGTTTCCACGTCACTCTGAAGCTGTTGGTGGTGACGTCACTGCTCTGCAGGTCCAGAGGGTCGGGCACCGTCTCTGCACACACACACACACACACACACACACACACACACACACACACACAGGTGAATGAAGTGTGTGTGTGTGTGTGTGTGTGTGTGTGTGTGTAAACCAGGTCTTACTGGTGGTGAAACTGTCGGTCACCGCCTCAGCTTGTCCTTCGTCGTACAGGGCGAAGACCCCGACCGTGTACTCGGTCAGGGAGGTCAGGTTCTTCAGCAGCCAGGTCGTGACCCGGCCCACGTCCACCTGTCCAATCACAGCGAGGTGTGAGAGTCAAGGGTGAGACAGGTGTACGTCTGTCACGGTCACAGCTGACCGACGGCCTCACCTCGTTGGTCTGGACCCCGTCGGTTTTCACGAACATGATGCGGTAACCTTTGACCTTCCTGGAGGCGGAGTCCCAGGAGAGCTGGGCGGAGCTGTGGTCCACGTTAGAGAAACGAAGGTTGGTGGCGGGGGTCAGAGGCACTGTGGGGGGGGACGGGAACCCGGGACCAAAGGCAGGCCCAACACCAACAACCCACAGCCGTGAGTG